ATACTTGGGGTGAGATGCCTAAAATGCCAGACAGTGAAAAAGTCGTCATTGCAAACACAGTATACAATTTTTTAAAATAAACTCCAAAGTTTTATTTGAAAAACATACTCCAGAATATGATATTTTCATTAGAGGGCTCCAAAACCCAAATTAGCGCTATAATTTCCTTCATAAGCAAAACGTTAGGCATCTTCCGCCGATTCACTACACACAACTTTATTTATTTCCCCCCAAACATATTTATGTAGCTAAAATTAGTTTTAACTAATGTTAAAAGTTAAAACTAGTTTTGTCTAAAATCAAAACATGTACAGCAGTAAATTAACTAGACAAAACTGGTTTGTCTAGTTAAAACTAGAATTTACTGCTAGTCAAAAATGAATTTGAGTTAAAATTAGTTTTAACAAAGACATCCAGTATAAACTAGTTTCAACTTGTTAAAACGCGTTCTAACTAAAAACGGGTTTTGACTGCAACATATATAATAATAAAGCTGATTAACTGAAACTTATTACTCCTATGTAAAATTTAATAAAAACAAAGTTTTTTTAACACGTTTGGAAGTGCTTCAATTTAAAATGAACAGAATAGGGAATAATATATTGTTCTAGTTTAAATTTAATTAACCCACTGTTACTCAGAGCCATCCTATAGTAACAGCATTACAAATCCAACCATGAGTAGCAGCACTGGGTTAAGTAGAGTTCTGGTTTCTATAATTCCAGATTGTTATATTACTACAATGATATATTCTTTTGTTTTTGATAATGAGTAGAAGCTTGACTGCTAATTTTGTCAAGCATCCATTCATAAACAATATATATTTTTTTAAACATATTTATTTTAAGCTCTAAATAAAGCATTTTGAAAATTACTTTATAAATTTTGAGAATGTTTGTTTTGTGTTTTAATCCTTCACTTAAGTAAAGATGTGTTTTATCAAGTTAGCATAAAATTTCTACAGGGTGTCTCAAAAATGTATCGACAAACTTTTAGGGGAGGTAGATAGCATCTAAAGGAATGAGAATTGCATAAGAACCCATAACCAGAAACGTCAATAGGCAGCACTGTTCATCCGTGCGAACTATCTGATCTTTCTGGAACCAGTTATACCAGCCTTACTTGAAGATGTTACTTCATATATGCATAAATACATAGAAGAAAACTGTCTCAGTCATTCTGTTCCATGACTATCCAGGTTAATAAGTCCATCTGTAGGAAAAGTGTGCTAGCATAAAACTTAGGAAATCCTGACATGAGGTTTGACTAATTGCTGTTTAGAATTTTGGCCAACTTTTTCATCATTTATTCAATATCTGGTTTGATTTTGCATTCTATATATTATCATAGATCAGCCCTTTATGATAAGTCTAAAATTATTCAGTTTGTTGGAGTTTCGGTATGTTTGGAGGTTGAAAGGGTTGTTGGAGATGAGTAGTGAAAGGACAACGGAAGGGAAGAACAAAAAGTGAGAGTTGAGAAGAAGAAAACTTTAATATCTTAACATGGGAGAGGACGTGTGGCTTATGGTTTTGTCTGAAGTATTTCAAAATTTAGAATGTTCAAAAAGAAAATAAAAATCTAACGAGTTTTTTTTTATTCTGAAGATGGACAAATTAGTTCAAAAGTGTTTAATCAAATGACTTAGGTATGTGTTTTATTTTTATTCTAATAAGCAGAAAAAATGAATATGATAAGAAAAAATTTGTTCATGAAAGAATCTTGTTCTTTGTTTTTTCTGAAAATATATTGAGCTGTATTTAGTGATACTATAAAATTTATCATCATACTTTGATTTTATCTTATTTTAATTCAGTAATTTTTATCAAATTTTCTATCAAAGTTTCAAAAACAAAAAGTTTATTTTTGAAACTTTGTTGTACTCTTACTCTACTGTATTTACTGGTATGTAAGGTACACTTTTTTCCCTGAAAAATACTGTGAATGTGAGGATGCATCTTATATGCCAGCAAATATACAGTACATTGTAATATTTATTTAGGAAATGCATAATTGCTGCAATGTTGTTGTTTGTACTTGAATATTTGTTTTTGTGTGTAAAATATATTTTATATATACCCAATTGTATGAAAATTACAGTATTTTATTTTTTAATAAAGTAGGTTAGAAATATATTAAAATTTTTTTTCAAAAAATACTCGTGATAAATGGAGTGCATTTTATATGCTAGCAAATATTGTATATATTATTGGAAAATGTTGAAATTCTTAAATAATTAATTGTAATTGTTTTAACATTTTCATTAAAAAGATGTATAATTTTTCTAATAATACATTATTTTTAATAAAATTTTTTCATTAAATTTCTTATTTGTTTTATTATATTTAAAAATATTTTACATTTAACAAAATTAATATAGGTGACAAGACGTAGTAGACGTAGAAGTAGAATGTCCGTTATTCAGCATACATCTATGATTTCACAGCCTATCACAGTAGATTTATGCTCACCACAAACAAGTAAGTATATCTTTTGCACTTTTTAAAAATACTTTTAAGATGGAAGTCTTGTTGGACAGATAAATCAAGTATTTTTGCTCTTGATAAACATAAATGTGAACATTTAATGAATATATAAATCTATTTAATAAATATTCATGTATAAATGGCAGAATATCAAAGTATATTAATTAAATCATCATATTTCCTTGATTCTGGGATGCACCATGAGTTTGAAATTGAATTTAAAGATTCTTTTTATATAGGAAAAATAAGTTACATTGAGTGACAGTTATGAAAACTATAGAAATGCCTTAAAATAGGCAATTCTGTAACTTTATTTTTATATTTTCCTGCATATACAATAACTATTTATTTTAACACTGCATAATAAGATGTGTCCGAAGTAAAGAGAGAGAATCAAATCTTGTCGTAGAATTTTAGAATGTCTGCACATTATTCTTGTTTCAACACATATGCATGTGAAAAAGTATTGTTTTGCAATATGTAGGAGGTGCAATCACAAGCTCCATCTCTATGAAAATGTACAGAGCTGAAAATGATAGTCTAGAAAAATGCATAATTTCACATTACAAATGTCATGAATGAAAAGCAATGGTTCATCGCTTTTTGGAAGGAGTTAGGTCAAGCATTTAACGCATCATTGAATGTTATAATAAGAATGGAATTGAGGGTTATAGTCTTCAAACTGCATATGCATGGACACTAAAGACAAAAAATAATGAAAACAAAGTAAAAGCTTTGATTTGTAAGTACCTGTCAATGTCCATAAGTGCTGTGGCCCAGAAATTGAATATCTCAAGGTCCACAATATCCTATATTAAAACAAAGAAGCTGGAGATCAAGGCACATATAAAAACCAAATGACCCTCTATGGTTGCAGTTTTAGACTTTTGGGACAAAGTTTGGATATTTCCATTGATAAACTTGGAACTTCGTTAAAACATGCAGTGACAACCATAATTAGTTAATGTCTCCTTGGCAGCCATTTTCATTTTCACACATGTTGATGTTTTTATGTGATTTCAATATGGAAATTAAAGAACTGAATTGAGGATGTACTAAATGTCTTTTTTCACATATCTAGTGTACAGAATGACAATTAATCCAAGTAATGTCATGTACTGTACATATTGAATAAATTAATCTTTGAGTGGTTTAAAAGCAAGAAATTTAATGAGCACAGATAATATTTTAGTATGTGATTGTATTCTTAATTATCTTTTATTTGATACTGTGTTTAATTAAATCAGTTAGTGACATCAAGTGTACTGTACTTCCCTTGTTCTATTAATCTTGCTCTGAATCTATCAGTTCTTTTTGGCAAATATATGATAAAAGTGAAACTAGTGATGTGATAAGTCTCTGGATACATCATCACTTTGTGATTTTATCTGGATGCGTGTTAATGATGTACATGATTCATCTCAAATGTCATATACAGGGTGAGTCAAAATTATGTGAACAATCTTGGGTGAGTCAAAATTATGTGAACAATCTTCGGTGAGTCAAAATTATGTGAACAATCTTGGGTGAGTCAAAATTTTGTGAACAATCTTAATTTTTAATTAAACATTATTAATGAAACATCTTAATTTTGTTTTGTTTTCTATTACGATCGGACAGTTGTTATGGCCTCTCCAATCTCTGGTGTTCTGGCATTAAATTGTACTGTTGAACATTGGTTTGAGTGCATTAATCGTGCTGGTGGTCAGATTGAGAATCTGTATAACACAAACTTTGAGTAAATGCTTTCTCTCAAATAGTGTTCACATAATTTTGACTAACCGTATATATTTGTGCAGTAACTCTTTGATTTCTTTTAGCACTGTAATTTTAATATATAAAATTAAGGAAGAAATTAGAGGAAAAAAGAAAGAAAAGGAACAGATATAATTATCAATTTACTCAGAAATGACTATGATTGATTAATCTTTTTTTAAAAATTGAAAATATTAAAAACAACTAGAAGTCTGTGCTTGTTTAACAAAGATAGACCTATGATGTATTATACAATAAAAAAATATAAATAAGAAATTATGGACTACGAACTATTTTGCAAGCTTTAAATCATTTTAAATGCTTTTAAAATCATCAAGAATTAATTAAAATATCAGAATTACTGTCTTTTATATATCTAGAACATTTGAAATAAAGTTGAAATAGATCCATAGTTTGAAAAAATTTTATCATCATTTTAAAGATCGATTTTTTTTTTTTTACATCGTGTTTAAAAATGATTTTATATTTTACTGAATGTTAAAATGTTATTGTCATTATAGTGGAAATTCTTCAATAGAAAAACAAGCAATTATTGTGACATCGTCACAATGCCGGGCTGCAATTTTAATCATATTTTTTAAAATTTATTTAGTTTAAAATATATGCACGCCACCTCAAATTAGTGCCTTGCCTCTGTACATAATACTTTTTCTGTTAGCAATAGTCATGCCATCATCAATAATTTCTTACAGGGGAAAATTTTTGAATTGAAATAACTTGTTCCAGTTTGCATTGGAAGTTCATGTACAGTTAATTGGGGACTCCTGCCCCTAAGCTTTCCATATCTGGTCTTGGCTTTCATCTATCTAACTCCATTCTTGAGAGTGAAAGACAGACAAACCGACAACAGTGGGAATTTTAGGTCTACAATTTTTTCAAATTGCAGCCCAAAAAGTTTTAACTCTGGTGGGTCCTACAAGGAAAAGTTAATTTTCTCAAATTTGATTTAAAAAATATTTTTCAAACTATACAAATATTTATAGATATGTATCATAAAAATTTTGATATATATCTACAAATATTTGTATATTTATTTATTAATATTTATATGAAATATAAATATTAAGTTTAAAAGAGAATGTTTAAATGTCAAATCTTCAAAACTTTTTACACTTGGAATGGAAAATTCCCAGAATCAACTCTTCTGGAGTTAGCAAGCTTTAGAGTAGAATTCAATTATTATTTTTTATATATATTTTAAACAGTATCATTGTTTTTAAATATTTAATTTAAATGATTTTAATATTATAAAAAATATATTAAAGATAAATATTACAAAAACAATTTTTATTCCTCAACATAATATGTTTCTTCTGACAATTCAGATTTTTACTAACACATTTGTGGACCACAGATTACCCAAATTATCTCGGGTAGCTTTTTCTGCTTTGTGGGCACTAAAGGGCCCCTTTTATCGAGCCCGTGTGTGTTTGACCAAACCTGCAATTGATCAACCATGTGGTGAGAGACAGGGACCAACATATCTGGGATGGTCCATCCCTGAAAAATTTACGGAGATTTTTTGTTTTTTACCTATTAGGCTTCAGTCCTGGCTCCCCAGAGCAGTAGGCTAACACTTTAACCATTCATCAGCCATCTGGCCATGCAACAAAAACTGATGCAAAAATCTTTTCAGCATTCAACATTAATTACATATCATATATTTATTAAATTTATACAACTTCTAGTTGTATTGATGTGATTTATTTTTGTCTTCTCTATTTATAAAAGTTTTATTTCAGTTACAAAAATTTTGAGCATATTGGTAGTCATGGGTGTCCACAGAAAACTTTCTGGAGGGGCAAAGCGTGGAGCATAAATACATTAATAAATTTTTATTTAATTATTTTTCTTTTGTTTTTTTACAAATAGATTATAATATACAATATTGCATCAATACAAGAAGACAGACAAAGTATCCTATGGTTGAGAGTGTAAGGTTACATATATCAATTTTGCAATTCTAATTTCAGGAAAGTTTTATTTGAACCCAGGAGGAGCAAGTGTCCTGTTTGCTTCCCTCTGTGGACACCCAAGTTGGTAGCTTTAATTAATCATAGTTTTAGAAAGCTACTGTGAGAGACAAGAAGTGTTTCCTGCTAGATTTAAATAGTTTTGCATATGATGTAACTAAAATAGAAATAATTTTATTTGATTGAAATAAATCAAATGATCATTATCAGACTATATTATTGCTAATTATCAATTGATTAATATTGAAGTATGGCATAAATAATTCTTACCATCTTGTATAATTATAAATAATTAGAATTTTGAATTTAATTTTATAAATTTTAGAATAAAAGATCATCTTATAACTTCTAAATACTTTACCTATACTGTTTATGAGTTCCATATTACCAGGTATGCTGCCTGGATCTTGGTCAGATCTTTGTTTCCAAGTACAGTATATTAATTTAGATTTATTACAAACATACTAATTATTATGTTTTAATTTGTGATAATATGGTCTGAAAATAATACTGTGATTTATTTATACATATGTTTTGGCAAGAATAATTGGGCTACAATTTGTTTCCTTATTTGTTTTCAAACTTTTTGCAATGTAATCTGTAATTTAACACCTATTATTTTTTTACTTACTTTTTAATGCATCCAAATGGAAAATAAATAAATGACATAATCTGAGCAGAATCATGTTATTACAGCACAATCTAATAAATCTTGCCCATAAAAGGCAACTGAGTTGATTTAGTCCTATCATTAGAATGCAACTTATCCACCTACTATTGGTATAAATTTCAGAATATATAGCTCTAGGAGATGTGGAAGTTAATTGAATTTAAAGAATACAAAGATTGAATTGATATGGAGAATACTGGTATCTAATTGACTATATTAAAGACAGTCATTTGGATAAATAACCTTGAATATATCACTCATCAATAAATTATATATATATATATTTAATGTATTCATATCTCTTCCATCCAAAGCTAACAAATGAGAAAATATATACAGTAAAAATTTCATTAATTTGGTATCTGATAATGTGGAATGTTCTCTACACCCTCTAAAAGTAGCTGATTATCCAGAATTGTTTGATAAATAATCTAACATGCTAGTACAGTGGGTGATCGGTTAATGAACACTTTCACGAAAGATTTTTATGTTCGGACAACGAACACTGCACAGAACAAACACAAGAAGAAGCGACGTAAAATAATGAATACCGATTGGTCTTCCCTTGTCTTCGGGCAACAATTCAAAACTTTTCGGAGTGTGGGAGACGTCGACATCGACGCTCAATCCGGTGTATACCAATCGGATAGTATTCCTCCGAACTTTGAAACTCTTCCTTGTAATTCCAACCTTTTATTTTTATGACAAAACAATTCTTTTATGTATTCGCGAGACTGTCGGGTAGGCACTCGTTAAGTTTTGCGTCTGTTTTTCTTTTCGAAAGGTGAGAGTATAATAGCAAAGGTAGAGAGTGGGCAGAAGATGCCTAATGTTGCTGGGCAGTATGGCATGAACAGGTCTACAGTAGGCCACAGTTTAATCTTATTTAAGAAAAATGCTGTATAATCAAGAAGACTCAAGCAGCTTAAAGGAGTAACAAAAACCACATCTGAGAAATAAAGAACATCGAAGAGTTCATAATGGAACCTGAAACGGATCTGACGACAGAAGAATGCCAAGAACTCTTGAATGAAGAACACCGAGAAAATCAGCGAGATATGTTTTCTTCTGAAAAAGAGGATTAATGCCGATATCTGTTATTAAAGATCCTTTGAAGAAGTGTGAGGATGTCAGAACAACGGTCTTAGAATAGCATCCAAACCAGGTTGAGGCTTGGGGATTTCTACAATTGTAATGCTATTAATTACTTCAAAAAATCTTGAAGGAGAGAGAAAAGCAATCGACATTAGACAGATTCTTTACTCCTTTCAAACAGAAAAAACATGACTAAAAAAATGCAAGACTGTGTATGTATGTATTTTTATTATTACATGTAAATAAATGTACTAAGAAAGTATATATTTTTTATTTTTGAGGGTCTCCAGAATGAATTAATTAAATTCCCACTAAAACATATGGTAAATCGATAATCGGTTAATGAACAATTTGGATAGTGAACAAAGTCTTGGAACGGATTACCGATCACCCACTGTATTTTGTAAATTTGTATTTGTTTGGACACATGATGTTCTGAAGACTGAATAAAAATTGAGGTGAAGTTGGGGTGTGTTGTTCACATTACTACATGTCAACAGGATGACTATGGGACCAAAAGCAATGTGATATACAGAAAAAGGGCTCATTTTGTTTTAGATCTTGTTTGTGTTGGGTTGGATATTTTACTAGTATTTTTCTGTGCCTAATATTTGTTTACACCACATTTATTGAACAGATTGGTGTAAATATCTTTCAGGACTGAACTTGAAAGCATCATCTGATGTTTACAGGATTCAACAAGAATTCAATCCTTGCTCATCTGCAGAACAACATTTACAAAATGAGCTTCCTTTTGCAGCAATGTCAGTTGTTTAAAAGTTGATGTTCAGTCACTTATGAGTCATTTTGAAGTCACTCACAAGTAGAGTTGACAGGTTGATCCAACTCCTAGGCAACATGTCTCATCTCTAAACTGAACTTCTACCATCAATAACTATCAGTGTTGACCATCATCTTCGGCTCAATATCAATGTCATCATCTGAGCAGCACTGACTTCCTTGCTTATAGAGCTTCCTGTCTTTCATTATGAAAAACTATTCCAAGTGCCATCTGATGCCTTTCTCAGAAACAAAACACTGTTCATTTAAGAAATTGTAGAGAGCAAAACAAGTGGTAATCAGAGAAAACAATATCTGACAAATATGGAAGATTTGGTAAGACTTTCCAGCCTAGTTCCAACTATATTTGTTGTGTTTACAAAGATGAGTGAAGTCTGGTGCTGTCATGATGGAAGACAAATTTCAGGATGTTATACTCAATTTCACACATTTTCCTTTCATGCTTTTGCTAACTTCATTGTCTTCCCTTTGCATGATCAAATTATATATACTGTATTGTGTAAAATGATGATTAAAGATTGTAGTCTTGTAACCACATTACAATGTAAAGATTGTAGATCAAAATGACTTATACATTATTGAATAAAGTTATTATTTTCTCTGAAAAAACATGTTTTTCATTTAATATTAAAAGGTGCATGGACTTATTGGCCAATCCTGTAGTTTCAAATCTAATCCTTGTGTTTTTTTCTACTTATAGGTTGTGGTATTATTTATTATTTCATTCAATTACTGTCTAGACGATTACAGATTAGTTATGTGTATAATAGGCAAATTTAATTTAATTTGTAAGCAGATTTTAGATGATTAGATTAAATTTTTAAAAAAGTTTAATGAGGCCAAATATATTTATAATAAATTTGATATAACATTAGATTGAAATTATTTATTATATTTATCAATTGTTTTTAACTGAATGTCTGATTTCTAGATATTCCATCTTGTATTGATTTAACAAACGAACAAGATGATTCCGAGATTGTGGATTTAACATCGGCATCACCTCACGATACTTCAGTTGTGGTAAATTATTGCTGATTTGTATTTAATTTTTATGAATTATAGTAATGAATAATTGCTGGAAATTTGATTCAATGGAAAGTATTTCTTCTAATTGATTAAATGTGATGAATAAATAATAACTTCAAATGGCCCCCCCCCTCTCTCTCTCTCTCTCTGCAGAAAAAGCTTTTCTCATTTTTGTCTTAGGCAAATTAATTTCAAAATTATTTATGTTTATACATCTGTAACACCACATGAACTGTTAGAAGTTAATGATTGTTCTAAGAATAATGTGAATTTGAATGCAGTTGCTATTGAAAACATGTTCCATCATTGAAAATGTCATTTTAACTTTTCTCATTTGATAAAATTGTAATGCTTTACAAATATTTAATGATGAGTAAAAACTATTGTATTTTTTTTATGATTTGATAAATCCTTAACACAGTTTATTGCATTTTGTAGTGTACTTTTAGTTAATTGTAAGCTAGGTGATAACATTAGATTGACTCTCTTGAATGTACGTGAATCAAAACTCAAACATTATTGTATCTTGAATTGACAAAATTCACTCAACAATATTGTCTATGGTAAATGATATTTTCCATAAGTCAAATGTGCCAATTTTACCACACTATATTTGCCCAAATTCAAAAATTCTAGTCAGCCTGTTTCAGCATGAAATTGAATCACAAATCACACTTTGGGAAAACAGCAAAATGTTGACGTACCTTACAATGGGAGACCTGTGGGAGACTATACACCTAGAAAGCATATACTTTTTGAATCAAACTAATCTAAGATTACTCTTGTCATTTAAATCGTGTATACAAACAAACTATAGCAATCTGATCGATCTCTATTCGCATATAGCAGTGCCATTTAGGATTAACTGGATCATGATCAAACTAATCTGAGTGGATGGTAGAATTGTTTGGATCAGATAAAAAGATTAAATATGGTGACCACCATGGTTAAAGTCAAGCTTATAGTTGACGGCAAAGAAAAATGTTTAACTATCGATGATGAAATGTACTGTACTTAAAACTTATAAATGGTAAGTAAAAAACATCATTATTAAAATACTTTTAAATATCACTTATGGTAGCTGTTATTATGTTTTATGAATGTATGTCTCTTTAATCTGAATGACTATTAAGTTCGGTAGATTATCATTACAGCTTTCAGGTTAGATGCTTCTTTTGAAGTGTTTTCTCATATGAGAAAACAATAAAAGAAGTGTCTGACCTGAAAGCTGTAATGATAATCTACCGAACTTAATAGTCATTCGGATTAAAGAGACGTACATTCATAGAATTATTAAAATATCCAATAACCTGAGATGAAAAAATAAGTAGAGAGAATTTTGCTTGATTGTACGGCAAGAATGCATGGTGTGCACTCTCTCATTTTGCTGTTATGTGAACGATTTCATTCACAGAGTAAATATAATTCAATCCTACTTGTATACTTTCTGACAACTGTTTTAGTTGGCAGAAAGCATACAAGACAGAAGTGACTGAAGCATCTGTATCACGTGACAAAGACTGATCCAATCTGTAAGATCAATCGGATCAGTCTTTGTTTAAGATCAATCCATCTTAAACAAAAAGTATATGCTTCCCTAGCGATTTCATGACATTACGTGGCAAGCTTGGGCAGAAGAGTAAGAAGTGACATTGAGAACCAAAAGCAGTTTTTTGCAATGTCGCCCAGTGTTTCCAGATTGGGGATTTTTAATTGACTGAGAAAAGTTGGGTAATTTTTTGGGATGACTTTTTTCACTTTGATCTCTTTTTCAGTAGACTAAAACAAAAATGATAGAACCTGTGAAACACTGTTTAACACGTTCACGGCATCAGTAGATAAACATCTAGGCAGCTGCCGGGCGTTACAAGTCATGGGTGACTCGTAGTCTATTCCAATAAAGGACGGCATGAGTCACCCATGCTTGTACCACCAAATTAATATATCCCATTGCACCCAATAAAATAGCATCGACATATCAAGCATGATGTCTGTAGAATTATGCCATCAAAACACATGCGCCACCCCACGGAAAAACAAGCAACTATGTCTGTAGCCCCAACTAGACATGTCCATACGAGTCACATATGCCTCGTAAAGTCGTGAACGTGTTAAATATTGTGATCAAATGTGTTATTCAGAATTATTCATTTAAAAATTATTCAAAAATGATTCTTATTGCTAATAAGGGGAGGGCCAGACATTCAGGTTGAGACACATAGCCTTAAACACAAACAGCTTCTAGTCCAAGTAATAGGATCTACTTCTCAATCATTTCCAAAAATTTGGCCTCTGAAAATTTAGTGTTTAGTTAATAAATCTTTGAAAGTTTCACATATCTTGCAGCTATAGGTGAGTGGATAAGATGCTAGTTTCTTCATGTGTAACATTATTGTTTTATTATTTTACTGCATCATTAGCATTATTATTACTATTCTTATTCCTGTCATTTAAAGCTTATAAAACAAGAGATTAAAAATTGTGACGTCATTTCCTGTTTAATGAAAACAAGCCTCTGTAACTCTTTAACGTTGTTAAATAAGACTTTTATTTCTTCACATTTATTTTCACATATTTTACATACTATGTTCTCACAAGCGAATAAGCTTAGGACATTACTGCACATAAACAAAAAGACAAGTGATACGAGAAATTATTTACATTGTGATGATGTCACAATGCCAGGCTGCAATTTTTAATCATATTATTAATTTATTTAATTTAAAATATATGCTCTCCACCTCAAATTAGTAGTGGCTTGCCTCTGTACATTGTACTTTCCCTTTAACAATTGAGTCATGCTGGTCATCTATTAACTGCTTTCAGGAGAAATGATTTTAATTGAAATAATGTAATTTCTGGTTTGGATTGGAAGTCCCTATATCATTAATCAGGGCCTCATGCCCCTAAGGTTTCCACATCTGGTCTTGTATTTTATCTATCTAACTTCATTCTCAAGATTAAGAAAAGGTGGACAGACGGATGGATGGCAGTGGGAATTTATAGCTTTACAATTTTTTCAAATTGCAGCCCAATGAAAATAGGGTAGCATAGTAGCATTTTATTTTTTAAACATTAATATTATGTCACTACACTACAATATCTGATCGTAAACATGATGAAAATTTTATTTAACAACATAAGAGTTAAATCTACAGAGGCTTGTTTTCATTAAATGGAAAATGACATCATAATTTTTAATCTCTTGTTTATAAGCTTAAATAACAGGAATAAGAGTAGTGATAATAATGCTAATGATGCAGTAAAATAATAAAACCAATATTGTTACACATAAAAAAAACTAAACTAAACCGCTGAAGGTTCAAACCTATATCGTCTAACTCCAGTGCCTAGTGTTTTATCCACTCTGCTATAGCTGCAAGAGACATGAAACTTTCATAGGTAAAATTTTTGGAAATGCTTGAAAAATGAGTCCTATTATTTGGACAAGAAACTGCTTGTGTTTAAGGCTGTGCTTACCAAGTTTTGTTTGAATTGGAGACCTGAACATCTGGACCTCTCCTTGTAAGTGACAGCTTAACATGTTACTTTTGCTTTCCAGAGGACAAATTGATAAGGCTATCAGCACCTGCATTAATTTGAAAGTAAAACTGTTGGGGATAAATAATTTGAAGTGGCAAAAAAATTTAAAAACTGGTAAAATGGTGGCGATATTTTTAAATTTTTCAGAGCAACCCCTGTGTATATGAAGATTAATTAACACTCTTGATCCTCAATATAACAGATTAACAAAGGAGAAGCAATAGTTTGATAATGTTGATTTTTCCACAATTCTAGGATTCTTCCAGTAGCTGTCTTGTAACATGCAGATTTGATCTGTTATTTCCAAAATTTATTATACAGTATCATTGCAGAGAAATTGGACTTTACACTTATATTTAATTGGACTACCTTTGGCTTTGATTATAGCCCAGATCTATCATGGCATAGATTCAATGAGTCAAATTCATTAGTACTGTACATCATCATGTTGAATTACCCATTCAAAGTGGAACTGTTCTATTTGCTGTCTCTGGAGGTCAAATGAGAAGTATGAAGTCAACATTGCATTCTCAAACCAATTCATTACATTATGAGCAATATTATCCTGAAATAGTACTGCAGAGCCATCAGGGTGAAAATAGTAGATTGAAAGAAATATGTGGGTCATCCAGCACTATAATGTAGTTCTGTGACTTTTTTCTGAACAGTGGACTTAAACCACACCAACAAAATGTACTCCAGACCATTATAAATTCTCCAGAGCTTGTATCATTCACAAACTGGATCAAGTGCTTTATGGGGTTCTCTGTGCATACATTAGCAACTATCACAGCAAAATCTTGTGACTCTTGATCTACAATAGTAGCCTGGAAATTACAACCTTTATTATACATATGTGTGGTTGCCAACTTTTAGGGGAATCTATTAACTCCATGTCAGGAATGGTGTAAGGTCTTTTCCATATGTGGATGCTGGTCATGAAGACAGAGATGACATATGCCTTTACAATCAACCCATTTATTAAAACAAAAAGATAGTTACAGAATTTACAGAAAGATTACATTGGGTGATGGTTTAAATAGTCCTTAGGTAGTCCAAGCAGATGCCGTCTAGTTTAAGGATCTTTTCTGGGGGATGGTGAAGATAGACGATGACAGCACTGAGGAAGTATCATAGTGATGTTGGGCAGGCGGTTTGCTCAACTTCCAAGTTGACTGTTGGAGAGGATGATGAAGCAGGAGGGGAAACTTAGCAGTTTTGATTTTGCTTAGACAAACACAGTGACACAAGGTCTAGGTAGCTTCATGTCTGACGTTGAAAGTTGGGGTTTTTATAGTTTTTTTCTCTTCCAATCTCCCTTTCAGATTGGTCCAACTTCCCTTGTCTTGCTTTCCAATTGGTCTCTCCCCTGTCTCCAGGTGAAAACCAAGATTGGTTCAGGTTGTAAGAAAGGTCACTTTGGAGAGTCTACCCAACACCATCTTTCGACTCTAACTGGAAGATGTTGATGGAACTGTGAAACCTGTGCTCATATTTAACTCGATATTTTCTTTCTCCTGACACCTTAGAATTCTAACAATCTAACACAATGTCCTCTGGCTGCCAATTCCTTTCACCCATTTTACTTTACTTTGATCTATTGTTTATGAGCACCATTGTCAAAGTTCTCTCTCTCCAGTTCGACTCCATTATGTTTCTTAACACGTGTAGGAGTTGCATCCGAGACACACTTGTTTACTACTGCATTTGTTTTTATAACAGAACATTTCTCTTACATAAATTTTGTTTTAGTTTTCCTTTTTTCTTTAGAAATTAACCAGCTAACGTAAGCACTCTGCTATTGACTGCCTGTAACAGTGTCTGGTCCTCATTGTAAATCTCATCTTCTAATTTTATAAGAGTGTTTACCAACGAATAATTTCATCTTGTACTTCTGATGGCTGATTATAAAATTAGAAGATGAGATTTACAATGAGGACCAGACACTGTTAAAGGCAGTCAATAGCAGAGTGCTTACGTTAGCTGGTTCGGTAGAAAGGAATTTAAAGCATAAATATATTAAAAAGCTTTAGAAATTTTAAAATTTTACACATTTAATACAAATTTCGGATTGCAGCTGGAACCTCACACATACCCAAGATAATTTAATAGATATTCAAAGTGGCATATCTAAACTGATTGCAATTTGCAATGGTGATATGTTGTACAGAGAAGAAACTAAGAACCAAAACAATACAATTTATTACACATAATGCTACACTAAACTTAGTGTTTAGATTTTTAATTTCAGTTGTGTGTAATTCTGATTCCATTATTGTGTATATATTATTAATTTTTTGGGATTTTAGAAAGTTTTTTTAAGGTTTAAGTTTAATTTTGATCATAAAAACATTAAATTAATTATGAATAGTTTCATAATTAATTTAATGTTTTTATGATCAAAATTAAAACTTTTAAATCCAAATTTAGGTTTTCAAAGATTCCCAGAAGATCAAAGTTTTTAAAGCTATATAATGAAACTTCAATTTATTATATAGCTTTAAAAACTTTGATCTTCTGGGAATCTTTGAAAACCTAAATTTGGATTTAAAAATCTTCTGTGTAAAAAAAAAACATTGTTAGAAGGATAGTGGTAACTTTATAAAGCTATCTGTATGGAGCTTAAAACTGTGTATGAGAGATGTTATAAGAAGAGATATGTTAAGGAATTGATGACTGAAGAGAGTGCTTTATAATTAGAATTTTATCAGGTATATCTTTTTAAATGTCACATTAATTTGTCTCAATGCAACAATTTTACTCAATTAAACTCAGTCTTGAATTTTCAATGAACAGATGTCACTCTTGATTCATTCATGTTGCATTAAATTCATTGCTATTAATTGTCACCTAAATGTGTTCAACAGTAGCATATGTCTAGGTTATGCCATGTCTATTCAAGCGAGATATAAAACATTAGGAGTGACTGATAGAGGATATAATAATACAAAAGGTAAAATGAGTTTGGTCTGACCTTTTTGTCAATGCACCATAATATGGCCTTTAAAATCAAGAGAGAATAGTATACAGGCATGCAACAGGTTACCGACCATCTCACAATAAAACAAACCACAGATACAACTGTCATATGTTTCGACCCCTACCATGATCCGACTTAGCTGTCCTCACCGATACAATGCTTTGTCTATTCCAAGTGTTGCCACCTGTCCAGTTTTTGCATTGTATATCTGGACAAAGACCAAAAATGTCTAGTTTTAAGAAAATTGGCAAATCATTAATAATTAATTATTTTTTAATGAGATAGCTGATTTTATAACCAATGAACAGAAACAATCTGATTATAATTTAATTAGCAAGTCATTTCTAATAATATTCTAGAGTGGGGATCTGGATACTGAGGACAGCCTTTATATAGGGAGCAGGTTTTTTAAACAAATTCCACTTTAAGCTCATCTGTTCTGTCTTTGAAGCAAATCCTTGAGCAAGAGAAAATATTTTCTGGTACTCTGGTATCTCTAAGTTTTCAAATTGAGGGCCGCCACACATTTGGTATCAAATGTGACTTTGATGTCTAGAAATATTAATAGAGACATCAATCTCTTTTTCCTTCCTTGCTGTAGAATATCACACAATTTAACAAACATCCTCTATGGAATGCTTGGGCATGAAGCTACATTGGTCATTGCTAAAAACTTTCCGTGAGGTGAAATTTTCTGTAAATAATAAAAATAAAATGTATGGGAAATGACAATTCACAATACAACTACTATTTGATGGAACACATTATGTATTGTACATAACCTCAGGTAATGCCTGTATTACATTATTAAAAAGTTTTTTTATTTATAAGTTTTAATTGTTTAAATAAGCTAATGATGCTTTGTTTTTTTATTACATTTAGTAATAAACTAAATTTTCAAATTTAATTAAAAATCTGAGTTTTATTCAGTGTCTAGGTCAGTCTTCACATTCAGTAGATACAGTTGCAAGGTTACTAGAAAGAAGAGCTAAAAGAGCTCATCAGCACGATCATTGTTACAGAGTTACAACACAGCATATAGATGTCGATAGAGAAGATAATCAATCAAACATGTCTAAAGATGTTTTTCCTATATACGATTCTTGTGTTAAAAATTGGGAGTAAGTAAAGATTTGTATATATTCACTTAAAACATTTAAATAATTAAATTGTATTTTAAATTAATATTCTGGAAAATTATCTTAGCTGTATTTATTAAAAATTACATAAAATAATTTATTATATAGATGTTTTGTACAGTAGGAAGATTAAATTCATTGCTTTTAGTTTGTACCTTGTTGTGGATTATATAATTTTGTTATTATTTGGTAATAGACAGTAAAATATTTAAATTTGGAATTAAGTTAGTGATAGTATAGTACATAACAAAAATAGATGAAAGAATAACATGTCTTTCAGTTTACATTGGAAGCTTGTATATAATTAATCAGGCTCTCCTGCCTCTGTGTTTCATATCTGGTTTCGTCTTTCATCTAACTCTGTTCTCAAGATTAAGGAAAGGCAGATGGACGGACAGTTGAAAGTGGAAATTTATAGGTGACAATTTTTTAAAATTGCAGCCCAATGAGAGAGCGTAATGCTAGATCAAACAGATAGATACAGATGATAGCTAGATACAGCTTTTGAGAAAAATATTAAACTCAATGAAAAAGTTTGGTGGAAATCACAGCAATCATGGAAAATGTGGAATTTTTATGGATTTGGAGAATAGAGAGAATTTCATGGAATATTCATAAAAATTGCCACTCTGTTAATGTTACATTCTTTTATCCAAAATAATTAATTGATGCAGTGGGTGTGCAAATGTTCGTGTGTAATGCAAGGGAATTGTTTGAGACATCTAATTTCATTGAATTAACATGTTCATTTGGAAATGAGTTTTATCAGAAACTGAACTTTTTAGATGGTCATTGGCTCTGTGTTCGGTACTTATCAGAGTTGAAAAAATAATTCCTGGCTTACAGGGTTATATACCATGTATTTTTGATGGTGTGTGCTGTTATAGCTTAGCGCACACACACTAATATGCAAATGCAATTGAGATCAAATAGAAAAAAAATTAAGATTATATATTTTCATCTGTCAGTTTTTACATTTCTGGTTAGATCTTTAATTAATTATGTAATTTTTTTAATTAACTAATAAATACATTTTATCATACAGGTTACATTTCTGGTTACATTTCTGTACTTTCTGTTGATTGTCTGGGAGATGGTGTTTTGTTATTTTTTTTCTTGCAGGTGGTCAACTGTCTTGCTATTGACACTTACCGTTAAGGCCTAGTCCACACTACCAAGCCATTTACAGGCCTGTCAAATATTTATCAGTTGTGCCCAATGTACTAGATCAAGACTTGTGTCTTACTTTTAGTGTAAATATATTGTTGGGCATAACTGATAAATATTCGACCAGATTGATAGCAGTAAGGTTAGGGCTGTGCCAAACCAAAATTTTTATCAACATTAAAACCTTTAGTCATTTTTGAAGATTAAAACTAGTTTGCTACAAGTTTATAGTGTTTGACAATATTCAAAATTCTTTGGCATTGTCATAATTTTCTTTTTCATTCCTTGATTACTTTAACTTTTTAAACTAAAGATAAAATTGGGTACAATTCTTGCTTAGACATTGTAAAAACAGGCAAACAGCTCTGCCATATCAAGATACAAATGCCCCTAAAATTAAAAAACGTATGACAATTTCATTCACATCCCAAGAGTATACAGAATGTGTATTTTAGAGAATCCTGGAAACATGTACAGTACCGGTACATTCTATAAATCAGATTTGATAATATTATACTTTCATTTTAAGTTTTATTTTTGGAATATGAGAAGCTTCTAAAACAATGTGTCAAAAATCCAAATACAGTAGATGCTAAAAACAAAAAAATTCAAATTAATTGTATTTTAGTTTTGTATTTAAATTACTGTTAACAAATTTTGAAGGAAATTTTAGAAGATTTAAACTATTTAATCATTTAAATTAGTTCAAATTTAAATAATTGGATTTGATTATTTTTCATCACTTTCTTATAAGACACCTGAAACAAGTTGCAAAGATTTTTTTGCTTCATTAAATATCAAGTAAAATTTGTTAGATTTGAAAACATTGTACATTCTTGAAATTCCAAACAGAAAATTTGGTGTATGATGACAAAATCTAAATATATTAGTTGTTAATAGATTTAAAATTTGTTTTTAACTCAGTGTTTTTCAAAATTTACCAAAACATCTTGAAATTTTTGAGTGCTCAATTACGTTAAACAAATTATCAGTTGAATCTGAAGCCTAAAATTCTTAAAAATGAAAGCAGCAAACAGAAAGGTACTTAAATGTGATTATTGAATTATCTAAAACAATATGTCAAAAATTTCTCCCCAACTTATTTGTCTATAATTCTATAATTTGTTATAAACAAGAAGTGTAGATCTTTAATTAATTATGTAATTTTTTTAATTAACTAATAAATACATTTTATCATACAGGTAATTGATTCTATTATTAATATTTTATAGTGAAAAAATGAAAAATACTGTAGAAGATCCTGCATTGAAAAAGATAATTTGCCCAATATGCTTTGATGATATATCAAGTGTAAGTAAATTTGTAAATTATTTGTAAAATTGGAAGAGCTGAGTCAGTTATATTAGTAGAGAAAAGTGCATCTATTATTTAATTTTAATTAATAATAATCTTTGTTTCTACAATGTAATCTGATAAATCAAACAGTTAAGTAATCAACATGATATATCTTTTTGGTTCCATTTCAATATATGTATGTAGTGCTTAACAATGTTACACTTACCATATTTCCATGCATGCTCTTACATGTGAAAATAACTTGTTTTTGCAGTTTTTAAACACATGTCCTGCTTCACTTATAAGAGCATATCTTGCATATAAGAGCATACTGTTATATGTGCCAGGTTATTTTGGCATTCCACTGTTATGTCAATGTAAATATAATGATACAATAACTATTCAATGATACCTATTTATTAATAGTAACCATTATTAAACATAAAAAACTAAAATTAAAAAAAATTCTTTCAATACTGTAAAATTATCTTAACAACAATGATTTTTTTATTTATTTGTGGAATATAGTGCAGATTTTCTCCCATTTGTAATAGCTTACTCTTATACTTGGATATAAAAACTTTTTATTATACGTGTAATTATCATTTTGTGGGAAAAATGTATATAATAATTAATATGTTGAATTGTGTTAGATAGTTTATGAAAATTTGACATAATCAATCTATAAAGTTATCAATAAATTTTCTTTAAAGTGAAGAAAAGAATGTTGAACAAGAACAGAATTTTAAAAACCTCTTTCAGTTTATGGAATTTCTTGGCAGTAAAGGCTTGTTCTGCTATTTTTGTTGTTTCAATATCTTAAATGAAACATATTAGAAAATATATTTCATTGTACAATTTTGAAATTTTTTGGTACTTTTGCTGCCTGTTTTCTGTTATTTATACAATTTTAAATTTATTTTCTGTTTGGTAATTAGATTCAGAAGAACGACAGACATCTAGTATCGACAGTCTGTGGTCATATTTTCTGCAATTCTTGTCTACAAGAGGCGATTCGAACTCATCACTGTTGTCCAAATTGCCGTAAAAGATTAACAATGAAACAGTTTCATCCTATATTTATCTGAGAACGTATGTACAATAGATTATGACAGTGAATTGAAAATTGATATATAATTCATCCGTTTTATATTTTACGACATATAATCTATTATCTAAGCTCATTAATCGAATGTCATTTAAAAATAAATGTGTAAGACTCAACAATATTTAACAGTTTATTATCGAAGAAGTGAGTTACATTCCATTATATAGAAAGACTGAGTTAAATATACAACAAATTAAAATTATAAAATAAATTTTTTATTTCTCTTGTGTTTCATTGCTATTGTATAATTTTATTATTTCACTAGATTTACATGAATGTATTCTAGAATGGCTTCGCTGCCAAAATATACAATTTACATTTTAAGAATTGCTTGACATATTTTAGTGGCACAATAAATTTGAAAATGGTTTGGTTGCAAAATTTTTTCATGTCAAGATGAATAAAATAAATAAATATTCTAAAATTCTGGGTATGTATAGTTAAATTGATGTCTTAAAAGTCCACTATGCAACATTTTACAATGTGAGAAATGTGTATTTGCAGCTTATATTGTGGCGTAGTTAATCCGATTATAAGTTCACCTCTTTGATACTGAGCAAAATCGATCATTCTAGTTTATTAAACTATTTCTGTATGTAGAATAGTACTTATCATTTGTATATTTATAATATGATACTGTGTCAATAAGTTGACATTTTATCTATTTATTCACTATTGATTTAAGAGGAAGAAGAAAAGATATATATGTTAATTGCAGTGTTTTGTTTTTAAATTTTGTATAAATGTTTGACTTAAATCATTGCCTTTATCATAAATAGAAAATGTATGTAATTATTCATGAAAAAGTCATGTTAATAAAAGTTTGAAATAAAATTATTAATATCGTAGTTTCAATATTGTTCAGAAACTGGATATTATAATTTATTTTTGAAAAATAACAGCAACAAGACTTTTAAAGCCATCACTAATTCAATAGAAGAATCAGTTTCAGTCTACACAACTGCTGCCTAGAGATAAGAAAGAAAAACAGTAGGTTTAATAGCATAAAAACTAAAAATTTGCCATGATAGTTGCATACTATTTTTATTTTAGTGGTATTTCAAATTGAAATAGGATAAATTAAAATAAATGAATTTAAGATACACCCGAATCAATCAGTTTCTTTGTGCTAGAAATGTTAAAATAAAAAAGCTATTAGAATAAGGGTGCCACCTGATGCGGCTGCCTCTCTATATTATGGCATGGACAGCCCTGGCTTAACCTTGGATGTACGAGGCATTCCATGACAATGTACAGTACATTCGTCATCATCTGCAAAAATACAAGACCCTTCTGTATTGAAAATGAAAGAAAGTAGAAGATCCATTTATTAATAAATAATTATAATTTCTTCACATGTGCCTAGCATATGTTTCTCATTTCTGTGTTAAAAATCACCAATGGAATTTTACAGAAAAGAATTGGTAGTAAATCAGTTTCTAGAGGTTATGTAGTGAATCATATCTGTTTAAATTGTCATATCTCATCTACTACTAAAAATATTCAGTTTCCCAGATGAGTTGAGTTGGCTCTTCTCTAACAATGGTTCTGAACCAATGTGCAGCAAACTTCTCTTAACAGTGCAACTTAATTCAGTAAATGTCTCTTCAATCCGAAAAAATTATTTTCGGTAGACTACCTCACAGCCAGTTTCAATTAGTTACATCATAAGGATTATCCATTGTAGGGAAATTTTTGTTGTATTCTAATTTTTTTAAAAAAGTAGTGCAAACGTATACTGTCAAATTTTAAAACATAATATGCTTTTAATGGAAAAGAAACCTGTATGTATGTATATTTATTTATTTATTTTTTAAAAATGGTTATTGTAAAATATTACTAAAATGTTATAATTTATAATTAATAGTGTAACAAACAGCACATTTTTATGATGTAACAAGATACATGTTTTTAAAGTAATTTAATTAGAAAGAAACCAGTATGTATTTTTAATTTTGTTGAGTTTTTTATAAAAAATTTTCGTTTAAACATTTGTAAAAAGTCACTATACGTTATAATTTGTATGTTTATAAGGTAGCAAGCAGACCTTTTGTATGATACAAGATAAAAAACCCTTTGAATAATTGCATACGCTGGTAAAAATATTGTAAATGGACTAAAAGTACCGTATAAGTGTGGGAAAAAAATTAGAAACTCGTGGAAACTCTTAAAAGGTATTATAAAATATGGTTTTAATTTTGTTGTAACATCATCTACCCGAATTGTTTTTTATCAATTTGTTAAAATTTAATTTATTTTGTAGCACTGAGGAGGAGCTAGCAAATTAACCTAGCTCGAAATGCATCTGTAAAAGCAATAAAAGGAATTATAACCTCAACTGGCTGTGAGGTAGTCTACCGAAAAGAATTTTTTTGGATTGAAGAGACATTTACTGAATCAACATTACAAACAGCTAAACTATCGGAAAATTCAGAGTGCAACTTAAATTTAAAAATAAGAGATGATTGATTCCCTGTTTAACATTGTTATATCTTCCATATAAAAGTGCAGATCTCCAACATTACCGTATACATATGAGTGAGCTTATCTTTGTTCAAACTGGTACATAGATGTGCCGTCAAAAATCATGAGTATGCCACCACAAAGTTTCTGCACACTAGTGACCGAGTTGATAAAAAGCACTGAACTGTAGTAGTTGGTTATGAGTTTGTGCCAGACTAATGGAATGGTCATGTTTTCAGGGATTTTCTTTGTATATCTAACACCTAAATAGGAGTCAGTTTTTCAGAATGTCTCCCTGGTAGGTACACGTCCCTTCGTAGATCAGCCATTGTTACCTTGCTGACTTCCATCAATCAGTGGTGCGTTATAATTTCATGGGGCCCGGGTGAATTTGAATTAGGGGTCTGGTACAGTGTCGACTTCAGATTCATCGGGAGGGATAGTTTTCGGGGGAATATTTTCTTATAAAAGATTGGTTTGGGGACTCTTGTTGGTGGAGCCCAAGCAATTGCCCTTTTGCCTATAGGATGACACACAATTGATACCAAAACAGGTTTCTCGTTTGTTGTTGTATCATACGTTATAAATCATTACATTTTTTAGTAGTCCGTTTAAGATAGTGTTTACTACACAACGAAAAATAAATATTAATTCGTAGTTAGATTTAATTATATTTTCATTAAAATGAATTGCAGCAAAAATAAAGATGGCGTTCTAGGAATTTGGAGACTAAAAATAGATTTGTTTATGACGTACTTAAAGAAAAATATTAAATTACACATCCTTATTAATGAGAAGTGCCAATGATAAATTATAAGAAGAAATTTAGTTATTTAATACATCCGTATCTGTAATATCCTGTCTACTATTTTTATCGCAGAAGATGTAAATTCATATCTGCTGAGATCGCTGCAATGACGCGATATTCTCACCCCAAGGGGAAACATAGCGACAGAAGTCTATAAAAAAGTGACATTTGTCAAATGTGTAATACAAAAGTATTATTTATTATTTTTTTAATGTAATAATAACGAGTCAGTAAATTGGAATTGTCACTCAAACTTTGCCCTGTGGGGACTAACAGAGCCATTTTAGAAAGCCCATTATAAATTCGGCAGACCCTAAGTATCAAAATGGATCATCTCCGAAAAATACAGTTTTAGTTCTGCATTTGTGATACAGCAATTAAGAGTCTTCATTTTATTTAACTTTGAAACAGTTTTAATGGTTTGATGTTGGTGTGAACTCGGGATCGATCCGGGCGACCAATTTTCACGAATTTTTTTATGGACGGCTGCCTGTCACCACATGGATGCTCCCATTGTGGCCTGGCTGAATTCATAATGGGTACTCTCCTCCATAGGGTGGAGAGTTAGCAAATTGAAAAAAGCCGCCTTATTCCGTACGCCATACCTACACCTTTTCACAACTTATAAAGTAAAAACGTAGTTTTATTACTATAACACCCCATAACTGTTTGGTATAAATGATCAGAATGTTCAAAACACACAAAATTTATGTTTTAGATTCTGTATAATTATTTTAGGCGACCTCAAACAGGAGGAAATTTTCACTAAGAGATGCGATCTGAGGGAGAACATTGCTCGAAAGCTGAACAGTTCGTCCTAACGTCACTGATTTGGGTTTGCATTGATATTTCTGTAGATAAACTAGTCCATTCTGGTGTGTATGACTAGTATTTTGAAGACCGAAAATAATTCAAATTTATTAAACTGTACAACTTGCAAAGTGATGAAACATTGATGTTAATTTGTCAGGAGGTAAGAGTGACATTAACCAATATCTACATAGCCATAAACGTAAGGAAGCTGAGAATTCACGGCATCAGACTTGTAAGAGGTGAGATGGAAAAAGTCATAAATTAGAAGCTGTATTTTGAATTTGCTCTATATTTAGAATTGTCTTTTTAATATTTCGTAAATTAGCATTACTTTAAAAAACATTAAAATTATTTAAATAATCTAATCAAAGTTAAAAATGTGATTTTATTTAACGTAAAGCTGGATTAAAATTTTTTCGCTTAACATCTAGCGTTTGTTTCCTGCAGCAAAATGACGTCATATCGTCTCTATGCAAAGCTTTGCAAACTACTTCAAAATATTGCCAGTGGATGGCACTAATCAATGCTAAAACTTTAATTCTTCGCTTCTCTGGTACTGCGTTAGTAGACGCTGTACACGCGAGATGCTGTATACAAAAGCTTAAATTTGGCTTAATAAATGCCAGAGAAAAAACATAGTACTGATAAACACTATTCTCGATTGTCGCCCGTATAATGCCCACTGTTACCAATCTACACTAAATGCGCTTCAATTAAAATACACAGATTAAATTGGTGAGATAATTCAACTCAACACGGGCAGTTTGTCTGGAATTATCTCCCGGGAGGACTTTTATGAGACTGGCCCGTTACACGTGGAGAAAACCCAGAAAACTCCACCTGGCCACCCCGTTGGTGAAGCTCCGTGTTTAGCCACTTGTCCACTTTTCTTTAACTCCGCCCTATGGAAACTAAAAGGTCCTCTTTTAGCAAGCTCACAATGGGGTGGGCAGATGGTAAGGGACGGATCCCGACATATTCACTCGTCTATTAGTGGGCGTTGAGAAAGATTATAGTAGTATAGTTCATAGGTTTTGAGTTAATGAATAATTTTATCTGCATTTTTTAGTAAGGGATAGTCTCGTCTAATCTGTATATACGGAAGTGTCTGTGTAGTTATGATTGCAAATGAATTTATCAGCAATCATTAGATAACGACAGAATATAAAGGCGTCATGCGCATGTTATATTACGAAGACTTTGTTAGCATAAGAACTGTATAGCTTTCGGGTAAACTGATCCGCCGGAATTCATAATAGTTTCATTAGGTAGTCTACAAATGAATTGAAAGAGAAGCTGCCACCATGCATATCCCAAATGTAATGGGGAGACCTGTGAGATTAATAATAGTTACGTGCATATCTATAGTGTATCAATGTTGCCAACCTTAATGAGAATTATCGCCTTTTTTTTACTAAAATTTCCTCTTTCCACACATTATTCTACGAAATCTTTTTCCAACTTCTAATTATATCTTTAAAATACAGTCACTGGTATTATTATGATTACAGAAAGTATTCAAACAAAATTTTACAGTACTTTAAAGTATTTTAATTTACATATTATTATTACAATTTATATTTGAATTTGGCTTTGTATTTGAATGTGGTAAATTGAAATCAAATGAACTTATTTGGCCGGATGGTCAAGCGATTAAGGTTAAAATTTAATCCCGGGATCGAATCTGGACTGATCGGAAAAACTTCAATACTTTTTGGGAGTGGTCTATCCGAATATGTTGGACTCCAACCTTCACCACAGCCGGCCATTCCATTGTGGGCCGGGCCGAAACTATAATCGCTTTACTAAAAAGTGCTCCATAGTGCCCGTAGAGCGAATTATTAAAAAATCAACTTATATTTGAAAATTCTGGTTTATTATCAAAATCATATTTATATTT